GTGTGTGTGTGTGTGTGTGTGTGTGTGTGTGCGTGCGTGCGTTTGTGAGTGGGTGGGTGTGACGTGACGGTTCTCAGTCCTTATTTGTTCCTTAACTTATCATTGTAAATATCCATCCAATCATCCACGCATCCATCCATGCACACACACGTGTATACGCACAAACACACGTACGCACACACCTCCATATACACTCACATCCATACTCACATCATACCCACCCATTCATACACGCACGCACGCACACACACATACACAATACTACATAATTTGACATATTTTTCTAAATCTTTTTTCTAACATAAAGGAACTGTATATTGTATAATCGCCACTATTCGAATCCCACGATCTAGGAACTGTCCTAGGTGCGAAAAATATAGTAAGAAACATTATGTTGAAAATGTATTAGAGCCGCAATTATGCGCGCTTAAAGTTATATAAACAACCAAATGTGATCGACCATATGACCAAATATTTGACATATATACGTACTTGATAAGAACATGGTTTAAATCTATAACAACAATAGTAGTACAAAAATGTCCATTACTTCTAATCTTTAATAATGAAATTACAATGGATTGCAATATACAAAAGATACAAGAAGTAACAGGTACAACAAGAAATCGATTATACAGGAAAAATTAATTCTACAGTTGTAAACAGAAACCATGTGACTGGTGGATTGTGTTACAGAAATACGCATATCATTATTTATCCATGAATTTAAATCACATGACCGACCCAATTAAAAACTTCAGTCTCCTGATTTTCAGATCAGGAGTTGTTTGATCATTGCTTTCATTTTAATATAGTATAGTAAATGCCCCTGTCAATTTTTAACGATATTCGGGGATAAATAGTACATCTCTTATTGAGGTATATATTCAGTCGTAAATTAATGGTATGTTGGTGTGTATGATATATTGTTTCTTACATTCCTGAAATATGTAAAACATATTTACGTGAGATAATAGAATAATTGTATATAGTATCCTAAATTTTACATTTCGCATACTATTCACATACTATTCAGTAGTTATAAATACTATATTTCACAATTCTGTACTCAGCTGTATTTAATTGTTTTGTAAATCCCTACTTTATTGCCCATGTTCTGCAAACAATAAGTGATAGTATTATTGCGATATATTTTATACAGATTATATTTTTATGTTCTTCATATTGTAACTCGTAACCAATATCTGTAGCTCGTTACATCTACTTTTACAATTTAAATTATGAAAACTTGTCAAGAAATATAAAAGTATCTGAAAGTATTAGTGCCTTATATAAAAGTTATCACTGATTATTGTAAAATGAATACAAGTGTAATCATAGTCGCTAATAAAATATGGATTTTAATAGTAAATAATCATTAGTAAATATATCTTACAATTCTCTTTCCTGTTTTTGTAGAAGTATAGCATATATAGGATCGGTGCTTTATTTGTGGCCACTGCTGTATTTGTGGTCACTTTAAGGAATCTTTCGAATTATTTAGTTTATGATTCATGTTCGCGTTACGTAAGTGGCAATATTTTGTTTTTACAACATTTCTATTAAACATGCTGCTCGCTAACGAATGTAGAATTTTCTTTCTTCTTTATCTAAGTATTTATAACCGAAGGTAAACGAACTGCTGCATTTTCTTGTACAAAACGTTAAGAATACGAGATGAGATAAACGTTAGAATTATTATATAAAAGACACGATGCTCTATTTTTGGCCATAGAGTGGCCAGAACTGGTTGTTGCGTTGTTCCAGTTATGGCCAACAAAAATAATGAATGTATTTTGTGTAAAATTATAAAATTTGTAGCACTACAAAATCCATGCTTTGGTATTTACTAGCCCTACTATCGTGCTTGAAAAATTATAAAAGTATAAGTAGTACAGTTATTAGTCTGGAAACAAACTTTATATACAGGGTGTCCGAAACCTTTCTTGACACAAATCGTAGAAAAATAGAACGGATTAAACTGAACAGAAAAGTCACATACCATTTTTCGAAATTCGCAATAGTTTTCGGGTAATTAATTATTGTGTCAGAGCAGATAAGCGCTCCGGCCGGCGCGCGACCGTGATATACGCGAATCGCGGCTCGCTGCGTCCCTCCGCACATAGCTACGAGACAGAGCGTATAATTTTGCAATGTTAATATTTATAATTTTTCGTATCGAGAAACGAAGAACGTTCGAGTTTTCGAGCACAATGAAACAATATGAACATCGGTGAGTTTGCATAGAGGAGGATCCTCATAGAATGGTGCTATGTACGTCTATTTTGACGTGCTGAATATTGTGAATTTTCAACATGACTACACATATTATCATCGAGAACGTAATGTAATGAGATAATCAAAAGGGGATATGCTTCAATTTCGCAAACAAATTGTGTTTTATTATGCTTGTTATATTCTGTGGAGGCAGATAATTCATCGAGTAATCACAGT